CCTGGAAATTTGGCTTGATTTGGGTATACGTTAATTGAGGGAAATTATTTTCTGGCCAAATTGTGAGGACTATTTTTTATTCATGGATGTCTTATCTGTGGGAAGATTCCTAATCCTGCCTTGCGTAGAAAATAAAGAAAACCATTTGCATTTGTTTCTTGGTTTTCTAGGACAGATCTTCCAAAGTCTGTCCCCAATTTAATAACAGCAGAAAGGCCGTATAAATTTGACTAAGGAAGGTTTGACGCATACAATTTTCGTTTATGATGATTTAATTTGCTTTGGAGTTCATGGCATTGGGCAGGGATTAACGGTATATTTCATTGTATTTGACTGACCAAGATCCAATTTTCTCAATTCAACCTCCCCAAATCAAAAAACTTCGGATTTTGAAATTTTTCAGCTCCTGTCTGAACTCCCTTGAGAGCCAAGTATTTTAGACTTCAAAATATCTCCCTAATGCAAATATTTGCATAACTAAAATCCTGAGAGGCCTTTGGGCTACTATTTTGGCATTTTTGGGGACAATAAATGAAGGTAATAAAAATGTAATTCTTCAAGTGTTTCAAAAAGACTAATGGGTAAATGAATCCTTGCCTCCAAGTTCCGCAATTCCTGTTAAATCATTCATCTTGCGGGTTTGGGCCTGGATACACAATGTTTACCTTCTTGTGACTCTTCCTTTTTTTTTTAAAGCAAAAATGCTGGTTTTCCAAATTAAACAACTCCTGGATCAAGTAAACATTTTTTATGGGTCTCTCTCTCTCTCTGAATTTGACTTGAGAAGATTACATACTGTGTTGATGTATGTGTATCAGGCTGTGACTCACCACCGTCGCCGGCTGACGTGGACGCCATGACATCCCTGGTGATGGTGCGCAAGGCAGAGAAAAGTGACAACATGGTCGTTCAAATCAACCGGACATTCGCCTTCTACATGTGCGAGGGGCCAGGCTTTGTGTTCAACTTCCTCGTTGACTTTCCACTCAGGAACCAAATGGCTCTGTGGTGTGAGGACCGGCGACCGGGTGTCTGGTACCCAACTGATGTGGTACCACGCTGTCTGCCTGAAAGTGAGTCATCAGCAGTCCATATCTCGTCTGATGCCTGATTTCATTCGTCCTTTACCTTATCGTGAATGCACTGTATGATAAAGTCGAATTTCCAAGGACCAGCCAAAAAAAATATCGAGTTTGGGTAAGCAGCTTTTTTTGTTGGATGGAAAAGAAAGAAGAATTACAGGAAATTGTAATTGGTGATATGCTGCTGGGCCTTGAATTGCTTCCTGAATGGGTTGACTGGACAATGCTCACGTTGAAGCCAAGGATGCATTTGCCCAATTTCTCATCGCCTCCTTTTAAAATGCATCAATAAGTGACATTTTTATTGCTTTTCTCCTTCTTGAGTGCATAAAATACAGATAACTAAAGGGCCTCGAGAAAATTCGATTTATGGAGGTTTGATGGGGAAATCCTTTGAGTTGAGGTGGTTTTTAATGCATCGTTTATAAGGTAATTCAGACAGGGACTTGAAAAAATTTTGATTTAGGGAGGTTTGAGTTTCAACCATTTAAACCTGTGTCGACAGAAATAGTCCTCTTTTAAATTACGTATTGTTTTCAAGAACGAAGGAATGTGGATGCTTGTTAATTTCTCAGATCTGAAGAGAAGACTTCGTATATAATAAACGATCAAGATGTTCACATATAGGGAGAATAACATTCAAGATTTGTTAGATAATGTGTGAATATTCATCTCGGGAGAGAAGCGCCTGTTGAAAAATATCAGGTTGTTCACCTTCGAGGAGAAAATTGGTGGAATTAATCTGTGATCGTTTGTTCTTGAAGATTGGATTACATAAACTGATATCAGGTTATTGTTCAACCTTTTATTTATAGAGAAGATTTGTAAAAGTAAATGTTTTTTGTTTTGTTTGTTTTTTTACGGTGAGTATATGTTTAGAAAATTCGAGGTGCCGTCTTCGTCGTTATGCTAAGAAAATAGGATTATTTCGCTTGAAAAATTTTTTTTTTCCACGATCAACGGTATTGTACTGTACTGCATGTGTGTAAGTCATTAATTCGTGATGGATGTACCGAAGGTGTGAAGCTACAAACGAGCCTTGGTGGGAAGGAAGACTCTCTTCTTGCTGCTCTCATGCTGTTCCGCATGACAACCCGCGGAACTGTGCCATTCCTCGACGTGAACCCGGACACGGGGCTCATGAGTACAGCCGGAGTGACGTTGGTCAAGTCGGCTTTCAAGACTCTCGAGGATTCTTTGGGCTCATCATCTGTGGACGCACTGGAAGCAGCTGTGGCCGAGGTCGGCCGCAACGCGTTCTCGCGACGAGACCCATTCTCCTATGACGACATCCTGGCTATGGCTGTGGCAGCGCAGAAGGCGAATGACCCGAATACAGCTGCTGCCACTGGTGTGCTCTATGGACAGACCCGGGCGTCGTCGGACAAGAAAGTCACTGGCACGATTGGCGCTCTCATTGGGGCAGGAGGTACTGTTTTTATGACGTCAGCATATGGTTTTTGAATCGGCTTTTGACCACTTCAAAAAATAAATACTCGTGATTTTGCTTGAGTATTGCTGTAGGCAGAAAATTTAATCCAAGTACGAAATTTTCAGTGGTAAAAACTTGAATTTCACCTTACGGAAGGGCTAACCTCGCGGGATTTTTATTGATGCGTTACAATTTGTTACATAATAGGCCATTAAATTACGTAATGGAAAATTTGTGTCTTATTTCCGATAAATTCAAATCCCGAAAAATTAGGTTGAAAAAATGAGCCGAAAAACGATAAGTTTCTTGGACGGAACTGCGGTAAATCAAATGATCGAAAAAAATTTTGCGTTTTCAATGTGGACGATGTACTGTAGTTTCCTCGTCGTGTATGAATATTGTACATCAAAGATTTATGCACTAAAATTGACGTATTGAGAAACTCGTTATTATGGTCTAGCTTATTTTCTATGCCGTTTGTGCCCTTCTTCCGACTGATTCTCACTCATATTTTCCTTATTTCTTTCCTGCAGTTTTCATCGCCATATTTATGATGTGCACCATTATGTCCAGAATGAGGGGCGGCTGAAATCATCCCGTCGGCCATCTTGACGATTACTTGTACAGTATGTGCATACCGTATATGCAGTACAGTACGTGCTCTTCGGACGACTGCAACTTTCCCGTTTTCAATTCAATTTCCGATTCTTTCAACTGTATTGAAACATTTATTTCCCCTCTATTCGCGCTTGGTGTGATGCGTACGTGTTTGCGTGTGAATGCTGCTGCGTCTTGCCAAAATGAATGTGCATGAGTGAGATGAACGGAATACATGCTTGACACGAGAAATCATGCTGTCTGTCAACATTCTCGCGGGTTTCAATTTTATTATTATGCCGATTCGATTTCTTTATCGTGTGGTCTGCTAATTTGATTGACGGACTGGCTGCTGCAGATCTTGCCGAACAACTTAATCTCCTAATTTTTTTGCATGACTCATCAGAAGATAATCGCATCGCGATGATTTTCAGAGGACTAAAAATAAATTCGTGATGCAGAAGAAACTGGCTTATGTATCGTGAGTTGATCACCTTGAACCAGAAAAGAAGATGTTTTTGTGAGCACAATTTTTGAAGATCGTTCCTTTTGTGCGTAACATTTCAGCGATAAATAAAATAAGGCCATATTTGTTGTCCAAATTAAATAAAACGTTTTATTTCAAATTCTCGAAGGTTTCTTCAAAAATATGCCGTCTTCCGATTTTCCAGTTGCGAAGGGATTGAGTGAAACGAACCGAGGAAGAAATGAATGAGATGAAATTAGAGTGATATCAAAAAGTGAATTCAAGCACGAGAGAACGGGACTGGTGAGCGCAATTGTCTTGTATGAGGATCCGACACAGAGTGGCTAGTCTCAACGCGAACTTCCTGTTTCAATTCCGGAACTTGCTGAACCTCTGGCTCGGTCACATCTGGGGTCTCCGTGGTCGTCGCTTTCCTGCCGGACTTGTCCTTCTTATTTCTGCCACGCTTGTTGCTTCGGGATCGCTGTTGCTGTTCATGCGTGGTGCTGCTGGAGTGGCCCCTGTTGCGATTCTTCCGTCGGCCTTTGGAGCCGTTGGCTGCTGGAGTTTCCACGGGAGAGGCGACATCTGTTGCTGAGGGTTCTTGTTGAGCTGACGCGTGAGTCGCAATGAACGCTATCAGACAGATTCCGAGGAAAGCCCAGGTTGCTTTCATTTTTCTCTGCGAATGCCGTGCTTTTGTTTTTAAATAACCCTTTTCTTTTTCCCCACAATCTGTAAAGAAAAGGACACGTTTTCAAACCATATAATCATTCGCATAATGTTTATTTCCGAAGAGTATATTTCTTGAAGAAAACTTGGCACGAGCTATTCATAAAGTTATTTCACGGTTTTTCGGTTTACGAGTTGCTTGAATAACCTTTCCGGAAGTAAGACGTGTACATGTACAGTATAACGAAGAAAAATTTCTGTATAAAACCCGGGTTCGAGATGCAAGCCTTGTTTCGAGAAAGAATCAACTGTTTCCCTGAATTCAAGATTATTGATTAATTCGTATTTATATTTTATTCAGTGATTGAAAAAGCTGATTCTGAACGAACGAAAGCAAGATACGTCAACCGTGATTCTGATAAATAATTGTTCATGTTGTTTTGGTGTAGATTATTTTTTTCAATGGGACTGGTTACAAATACGAACAGGGTAGTATATGTATAACGATAAATATTGCCATCGGAGCAATTTTTCACCTTTAAAGACTTCTTACAAGTCCGAGCATGAATTTTAAATGGAAGTCTGAGAAGGGCCTTTCTACATGAAATACTCAACAAATATTGAAAGTGATTTGACACGGGAATTGGGGATGATTTTGATTTATTAAATATTGCTGCTTTTAAAAAGGCCAAACATTTCGTCAGGTGAATAAACTTCTGAGGATTTCCGAGAGATGCTAAGTCAACCTGCGTTTTATATACCACTGGAGAAAGGATAGTATTACACGGTGTTTATAATTAATTGATGATCAATCACGCATGATCAACAGAGGAATATATGCTACACTAGTTAGTTTAATAATCAAGCTACTCATTTAGCGGATTCCCGAGAGAAAAAAATCACTGGACTGAAGTTCTATGGGTCAGATTTGTTCGGAAGCCTGTTTTTGAATGAACTTGTCGGCTTCCAAATGGCGACTCTTCTCCTTTTTCCAGGCCACCCTTTAACCTTGAGATCATTGATGAGAAACCGGTATTGACGATGACGATCTTCTGTCGTCGTGATTTATGGATGGCTCTAATGAGGAAAAAATCCAGTATCACGGAGAAGCCATGATTAGGATGAGAAGCTTCCGAAGCCTGATGGTATCTGGACTGAATATGAAAATGATCCTGTCATCCGTGAGTCCGGTTTCCTTTTTCGAGGATCTTCTTGATGATGCGCAGTTTCATGCCCAAGGTTTTTTCCGGGAGTCATTCCGTCCGTTCGAACTTCTCCCTTTGTTTTTTT